TGTAGGGGGCGTGCATAAGCGTACCAACGTGCCTACCGTCCCTGTCCTATTGTTTCTCTTATTCTTCTTTTATTTTTCTTATATGTACCCATTTCATGTATTCATAACTATGTATACACTTATACTTATTATCTTGTAAACAATTGGCAAATCAAATAAAGAGCAGCAGACACAGAACCAGTTGTGTGTCTCCTGCTGTTTGACCTGCCCGACCGCCCGGGCTCTTGCCTGACCTTTATTTCCTGCTTTGTTAACTTCAGCTCTTTTGTGCAGCACAGCTGAGGTTGAAAAATCAGTAAAAAAAAAAGGTGTTTTTCAAACGTTGCGCATCCCCGCACAGCACTCATCAGCTGTCCGGGAGGCACAACTTTTGTTGTATTGCACGTGTGCACAGTGCGCGTGTAATAAAACGCAAGTACCGAACTGGTGGTAACACCGGTTGAATCCCACCCCTGCCCAAGCCTGGTAATAACAAAGGCTGTTCTGTCCTAGGCTTTCCCCCAAAAAGCAACAAGACAACTCTTGAGTCCCGACAAAACCTCTTTTATTAAATGAATCTGAATTTAGTTCATTCACATTCAGCAAACAGCTTGGCAAATCGTCTTGCAAAGGTATGGGAATTAGCTCAGACCTTACCTATCTTGGGAAGCTGCCCAGTAAATATTTCCCACGCACAGTGGATCGTACACAGACGCTTTAGACTGGAAAGGGGAATTTTTCTTTAGCTTTTTTTTTTTTTTACAATCTCTTCACCTACAGTCGTGTCAACTTTGATCTACCTTTCTTGCTGTGTCAGTGCAGCTAATTAGAAGCACTGATGTGACCTCCTTTGCTTTTAGGACTTCCAAATAAGTTGAATTACAGCTGATTTGCCCACCCACCCCTTCCTAGTTTGCTCCTTTTATTGTTTGGGGGGAAATTTCTTTTTTTAAAAAATAGCATGACTTCTCTCGTTTTTTTTAATGCATGACGAACTTCTGACTTGCTACAGAATGTAGATTCTTTCATTCAGAAATCATTTGTTTATGTCGTCTTCTTCTTTTTTTTAGGAAGTCTATGGAATGATGCCACGGGTAAGCGTCTCTTCAAACGTAGCTTTTGAAAGGGGGGAAAATTGGGACCTGGAAAAAAAATAATAAAAAAGGAGAGAAAAATAGAGATTGATCTGAAGGATCAGTTCATCCTCTCCATCTTAGCCATACGCCATCTTTACCTGTTCAAAATATTAAAAAGATAATCAGCACAACCTTACTCGCATTTATTTGGAAATCCGCGGGTACCAGCTCAGTTATGTCCCCCAACAAAGGAGAAGAAAGGGGAGTTATTATTTTTTTCTTGCATAATTAAGTCTAGATCAGGGGTGTCCAACCTTGGCAACTTTAAGACTTGTG